AATGTAGGAAGGAAGACCTATAAAACACAGAAAAAGAAGACCAAACTATAAAAATGGAGTGTCGAACCAAGAAACCTCTGAAGGGAATAGGTATTTTGTTGTCTACTTCAGCTAGAGCCTAGAGGTGGCAAATGGATCGGATTCATGGATTGCTGGATTAGATTGGGGGATCCATGGATCAAATGGATTGGATCCAATGGATTGATGGATTGGATCAAGTGGATTGGTGGATTATCCATGAATCCAAATGACATCCTCAACCTTGGACCAACATGTAAAATGTGAAAAGTTTAGGTACTAAAATGTCGTAATAAAAAATTTTAGGTACCAAAACATAATTTTCCAATGATATTTTCATATAAAAATTAAATTTTAGGTACCAATATATAAAATATAAAAAGTATAGGTATCAAATCATAATTTGTCATTTGAATCCATGGATCAATCCATGAATCCACCAATCCAATTGAATTTGGATCAAATGGATTGGATTTAAATGGATTAAATTAAGTGGATATTTTTAATATATTGGTGAATTTGATTGAGAATTGTCACCTCTAGCTTCATCCGGTAGACTACAACGTAATAACAATGAACAAATACCTCATATTATGTTTTTAAAATCTTAGGGGCATAAAGGCATAAAGCTGGCTCAGTCCATGCTCTTTCGAATCTATGGAATACTAGACTAGACTAGGGCTGTCAGTCGGTCGGTTTCTGGTTAAACCGAGCGACCCTCTAGCACTACTGACCACCGACCGACGCGTTTCACACAGTCACCGCCTAACCGACCGGTCGGTTATCGGTTATAACCGCGGTTAGCCGAATTTAATACAAAAAAAATAAATAAAAAAAAATAGAAGAAAAGTCGGTCCACCACACATTTTCAGACCCACCTTATCTTCTTCTTCTTCTCTCCTCACCTCATTTGAAAAGAACCACTGAAAAGTCTTTTCTTCTCCCCTCTCTCTCCTTTGCCTCTGCTAACCGCCTAAGCCTAACCCTCCATCTCCAAGACCCTTTTTCTCTCCTCTCTCACTTTCCTTTTCCTTATGCTCGGGGACCCTCCATCTCCAAGACCCTTCTTCTCTCCTCTCTCACTTTTCTTTTCCTTTTGCTCGGGGACGGCCGATGGACGCGGTTCATATGCTCGGGGACGGAGACGGCGACGAAGGATGGACGGGAAAGAGGAAGGATGGAGGCGGCTGCGCGAGGCGACGCGATGAGGACGAGATCTGGGCGAGGCGACTGCGATGAGGACGAGATCTGGGCGAGGCGGCTGCGCGAGGCGACGCGGCGAGGAAGGCATCTGGACGGGTGCGACGCGACGAGGAAGGATCTGCATGGCGGCGAGGAACGGAGGAAGGCGGCGGCCGTGAGGCGACAAGGAAGGGAGCTGGGCGGCGGCCGTGACTCGTGAGGGTGAGGGTTTGATGAGAGGAATATAGGGTTTCAGTTTGGGGTTATGGGTTTTATATGTCATTTTTTTGCAGGGAGGGCAATATATGAGGGTTTGTCGGTTTGGTTCGGTTTTTTCGAATAACCGCGGTTAATAATGGTCGGTTACTCGGTTATCCGAAGCTTTGGTATTCTCCTCCGTCCACCGACCGAAGTAATTTTAGTCTCGGTTTTCGGTTAGCCGAAAATCGATCGGTTCGGTTGTATCCGTCGGTTATCCGCTAACCGGAAACCGAACTGCCAGCCCTAGACTAGATGGTTGACACTAAATTCTTCCATGCTTTATCGATAAATGAACTGCTATTTGCCGCCCGAGTATTTACTATTCGCCGCCCATACTTTCAAAGAAAATGATATTTTTGCCTTTTTATTTTATTAGATTAAATCCTAAATACGCTAACTTAATTAACAACACCACCTCTCGTCTTATCCATCTCCCGGAGGTGCCAGAGTTTTAGATGGTCGCCAGAAAATGGTGGTAGCCGGAGATTAATTGCTGCAAATAGTAAATAAGTGCACATAAATAGTAACGTCTATCTCATTAATGATTTAATTCGCATTCAATATTAACTTCTATCATATCTCATTAATTCCCCCATTTATTCTTAAATGTATTTACCAAAGGTAATATAGCCTAACGGTAAAGCTGCCGCAACAGTGAAGGCTTGGGAGTTGCAGATCCCAGGTTCGAATCCAAGCGAGGCCCGTTGGTGTTCCCGGAGGTACAAGGCTGCTGGGGGCGAAGCCCCGTTGGCGTCAAATTAAATGCAGGTGGCCCCCAGGTTTAGTAGGACCCGTTGTCACAAAGTGGCACGTGTGGCTGAGGTTCCTGGGTATAAAAAAAAAAAAAAAATTCTTAAATGTATTTCAACATTCAAAATAACCCTTTAATTCCCTTTAAACAAAAAACTATGTAAATAAAGAAAATTAACAGATTCTTTCTTTCCCCAAATCTCGCCACATCCAATTCACCTTCCCTTTTTCCTCGACGTTTCCGGTATAATCTAGCCAATCCCACGACGATTCCCCATTTTCTTCCGAAACGATTCCTCCGACCTCCGCCATCTTCATCCGCTTTCCCGGCATCATCGTCTCTCATCGTCCGACTGAGATGTGCGGTCCGACGTCGGCAATCGGACGCGGTCCGACGTCGGCGTTCGGTCACGGTCCGACGTTGAAGTTCGGACGGGGCCCAACGTCGGCGTTCGGACGCGGCCCGACGTCGGAGTTCGGACGGGGCCCGACGTCGGAGTTCGGACGGAGATGCCAGAGTTGATGTCAGCATTCGGACCAGGTGCAGGCGTACGACCTCCGGCGTCGTCCTCAGAGACCTTCCTACCGTGGGACCATTCTTCTGGTGACGGGAACTCGTCTTTTGGCCGTAAAATTTTGTTAGAAAAAAAATCCGCCTTGTGATGATTATTGGGATTCTGTTTTGCTAAATTATTTGTTAGAAAAATAAATAAAAGGGCAGCATCGACTTTTTCATAAATTTTGTGGGCGACAAATAGTAAAATGTGGGCGGCAAATAACATCCCTCTTATATAACCACATTTTATTATTAAGAGATCTTTCAAATCTTGCTGGCTTAACTTTTTCAAATGCCTAACCAGGCATGCACTTCTTTCTTTTCACTTTTATTGGAAGAATTTATATCTTTGCATGATAAAATTATACAAAAAATATGAAAAAGGCCAATGTGGAACATATTTGATGTTTTTGCAGATTATTATTATAAGTACCGTTGGAAAGAGATTCTCTGGGGTCTGGGACTGGGTTGGAAGGAAGGTGCAGGAAAGGTTGCTCTCTATGTCTAATTTCTGGCAAGAACGAAAAAGACTAATCATCAAATAGTGGAAAATTGTTAGTACTTATCGTAATTAAGGAGTGGAATGGACCATTACTAAGGTGTGAAAAGTGGGACTGGTCCATGTTCACACGCACAAAATCATCAAATGCAATTTCATCTTTGGACCTATACATGCAAAACTTGTAAGTGAAAGTAGAACTAAAATTTGAACCTAATGTAATTGCATTAATGATTTTGTGCATGGAAAAGGTCTCAAATTTCATTGGTTAACGTTATTCTTTAACGATAAATTCAGAAGACTATACACCATTTATCGTGACAACTCTTCAACTGGTTAACTGGTTAACGTTACATTAACAGAGACATTACGTACAACATGAACGAACCAAGAATACGTGTTCATGTGTTAACATACTTTATTTTCAAGGTAAGCATCCGCGCTTAGCTTGATGGAAGAGTGGATGTTAGGGATCATGATCCATTTATGGTGCAATGTAGGTTAGGATTTAGTTAATTTTGTATACGATTAGTTTGCTAATATTTTATTGTTTAATTTCTTGTTTCAAACTTGTATTTAGGGTTGTCCATTTGGTTTTTTGTTTTTAACCGAAAAACAAATCAATTGGAAAGCTAATGGTTTCAGTTTTTTGGTTTAAAACCAATAAGCAGCTTAATGGTTTTGGTTTGGTTAAAATCGAAAAACCAATAGAAACCATTAAGAAACCAATAAGAATAAAATTATTTATCAACAAATATATTTTTTTGTTTCTTTTGACACGCGTGCCAACCAATAATTTGGAATGGTCATTTACCATTATTATGACGTTTATTCAATAAAAATGAGGGAAATAGGAATAAATATGAGTGTATGAGTACATGTTGGTTTTTTGGTTATCCAAACCAAAACCAAAACCATTAAGGTTCTATTGGTTTTTGGTTGCCAAAAACCAATAGGACCTTAATGATTTTGATTTTTGATTTTTGGTTTTTCATACTTAATGGTTTGGTTAACCAAACCAAACCAAATTGACAGCCCTACTTGTATTGGGCTTGATTTCATCATAAAATCAATGCAATGTTGTCAATGTTTGTTCATCCATCTCTAATTGGATCCATCTGACAAGGACATCTAACACATATTTTTTTTAATCTTTCTTCGACCACACCAGATTTAAATTTGACTAATGCAACGTTTAAAAAAAAAACAAAAATGTCATACTGAAAATTGGAATAGACCATTGTTTTCCAGTGGAAATAGGTATACAGTTGCTACCTCAATCAATTATCAATGCATTCACGCAAGTAGTGCCGTACATCACAACGAATGAGCTCTTCAGCATTGACAAACAGATTAGTCATTAGAGGCCCAGATTTGGAATTCAAATTTATCAGCGGGTCTACTGAGTCGTAGAAGAAGAAAAAGATACCATGGACACTATTATTAGTCTTCTTTCACTCTGGAAAGCTAACCCCCCACGCCCAAAGCAACGTTTTCTTCCCTAAGCCCAATCTGCCTTTGGCCCTGTGTTACCTTGTTCAGTAGCATTAGCATAGCAGCATGTGGAAAAGTCGAAAAGAAGAGACGCTTTAGAGTTTAATTAATCTGGACAAATTTCGGAATTAATTAAAGTTGATTCTCCCAGCCCACACCTGTATTTTTTGCTGGAAAATCAATCCCATCTTCTGTTCTCTTCTACTCCGTCTCCGGTCTCCCCCTTCCTCCCACAATTATATTATATATTAGGAGACACAGCGACAGACAAGGGTCTCCGCCATAAACGACTGCCCTTCCTCCTTTCCATGAAACTTCCTCCTCCTCCTCCTCCCTTTGATTCCTCGTTTCCTGTTTTTATCCCTCATCTCACTCACCACTCGTCCCCTTAAATCCTCACTCAATACAGTCAGTTACTCAACTTCCCCCAATTCCCTCTGCGTCTTGAAACAAAACCTGAATTACCAAACATGGAAGGAGGAGTCCACCCGTTGCCGGATACTTCCGCTTTCAGAGACTGCTTCGCCCTCACATGGAAGAACCCCTACGTTCTCCGCCTCGCTTTCTCGGCCGGCATCGGCGGCCTTCTCTTCGGCTACGACACCGGTAATTCCCTCCTCCTCCTCCTTTCCTTCCTCTCTCTCTCTCTCTCTCTCTCTCTCTCTCTCTCCGTTCTCCTCTGACATTCACTCTCTACTCTGCCCCGCAGGAGTAATATCCGGCGCGCTTCTCTACATCAGAGACGACTTCAAGGCCGTCGACAGACACACTGTTCTCCAGGTAACCTTATCATCAATTCAATTCAAATTTTTCCGTTTCCTCGTTTTCCGTGCTGTTCAATGTTCTCTCTGAACAACATTAAAAACAAAATACCAGACATGGAACATCGAGTACTTTGTGCTACTGGACTGGATAGGTATCTTCTTTACTCGATTGAGCTATGATCAAACCGGAAATGGCGGTTCGCCAGTAATCGCCACTCTTATCCTTTTTTTTCTTTCCCCACTGCTCTGCCTCCCTTCTCTTTTGTTCCTTTCCGGTAATTAGTAACAAGGAAAAAGTAGTCAGCAACTACCACCACCACCACCACCACCGTCCTCCACCCTCCCACCGGACATCACCATGTGCTCCCTCCTCACTCGCAACCTGGATTTGGAAAAAAAGCGAATTATTGGACCGAAATCCGTTCGCCTTTCTCATTTCCCTTTTTTACAAAAAGAAAATTTCCCATGGAAATTCTCGATTTCATCACCCCCGATATGCTGCCGTGCCGCCTCTAAGATGACGATAAGATTTAGGGATCTCGGAACAGAGAAGACGAAACCAAGCCTCACTCACACACTCTCTCTCTTATCTAATGATCTCCTCCAGTGAGTCAGCCAGTCAACGTAGAAGAAGCCAAGGAGGAGTTTCTACTTTGTGGACTAGTTTACTCTTTCCGCAATTTGGCATCTAATGCTTAATCTCTCCCTTTGTTTAATATCACATCGTTTGTCACCTAGTTAAGCAGATTCTCTGCCTTAAAGTAAGTTTAAAAAAATCAGGTAATCCAGCCACCTGGCCCCTTTCTCAAAGACGTTTGTTCCATCCCCATTGATCATGGTAGACTGTGGAATTGTCAAGTCACCGAAATCGGCCTGTGTTGGTGGGCTTTTGGCCCATTAAGACCCTAGAGCTTGGGCTCCTTCCTAACTGAAACAGTATGAGGGAAACTTAGCTGCTTTGGTGTTGATATGATCTTGGCAGGAGAGCATAGTGAGCATGGCGGTGGCAGGGGCGATCATAGGAGCAGCAGTTGGTGGGTGGGCTAACGACAGGCATGGCAGGAGAAGTGCACTTCTCGCAGCTGATTTCCTCTTCTTCATTGGAGCTGTGATCATGGCTGCCTCGCCCGGACCGGCAACGCTCATCGTCGGCAGAGTCTTTGTGGGTCTTGGAGTTGGGATGGCATCCATGACATCCCCGCTCTACATCTCGGAGGCCTCTCCGGCGAAAATCAGAGGCGCACTCGTCAGCACGAATAACTTCCTCATCACTTTCGGCCAGTTCCTCTCTTACCTCATCAACTTAGCCTTCACCAAGGTACGTGACAGTTTTGTAGAGTCAAGATGTGTACTAAAAATTGTGATGTCATGTAATTGGTGCCAAAATTTGAGGGTGTTGATGGTTGTTTCAGGTTCCAGGAACTTGGAGGTGGATGCTCGGAGTAGCAGGACTTCCCGCTCTGTTGCAGTTTTCGTTGATGATCTTCCTTCCAGAATCACCTCGTTGGCTATTCCGCAAGGTTTCCTTTTCGCTCTTCTTTCGTTCCACATTGTTTGTTACCTTACTACTGTGATTCCTCATGTTCGTTGTGGGGAATGACAGGGTAGAGAAGAGGAAGCAAAAGCAATCCTGAGGAAGATTTACCCAGCAGAAGACGTCGAGACAGAAATCCAGGACCTCAAGGACTCAATCGACAAGGAAATCCGCGAGGAAGGAACCTCTGAGAAGATCAATTTCAGGAAACTCTGGCAAACCAAGACTGTCAGGAGAGGACTTATAGCCGGTGTAGGCCTTCAGGTGTTCCAGCAATTTGTGGGGATCAATACTGTCATGTATTACAGTCCAACCATAGTTCAGTTGGCTGGCTTTGCATCGAACCAGACCGCGCTTCTGCTGTCCCTTGTCACCGCGGGGCTCAATGCCTTCGGCTCCATCCTCAGCATTTACTTCATCGACAGGACGGGGAGGAAGAAGCTTCTCCTGATCAGCTTGTTTGGAGTGGCCGTTTCACTTGGCTTGCTAGCAGGAATTTTCCACCAGACCACCACTCACTCTCCCATGGTGACTGTCGCTTCCGGAACCAAATTCTCCAACATGACCTGCCCTGACTATGGCTCGGCAGCAAACTCGGCTTCCTGGGATTGCATGAAGTGCCTCAAAGCTTCGCATCCTGATTGTGGGTTCTGCTCTGCAGCTTCTGATAAGGTACATTTTAGGCATCGCTGCAATCCGTTTGCTGTCGTTCTACACAATTTCCACACATGAAAGCCAATGATTGAATTGAAATGTTGTTACTGTACTATTTTGTTGCAGCTGCTACCAGGAGTGTGTTTGGTATCAGACGACACAGTAAAGGATCTGTGCCACGGTGACAGCAGGGAATGGTATACGAGAGGATGTCCAAGCAAATTCGGATGGTTGGCACTAATCGGTTTAGGTCTGTACATCATCTCATTCTCGCCCGGAATGGGTACAGCGCCTTGGATCGTCAACTCCGAGATATACCCACTGAGATTCAGAGGTGTCTGTGGAGGGATAGCTGCGACGGCAAACTGGATATCCAACCTCATCGTAGCACAGACTTTCCTGTCCTTAACCGAGGCCATCGGGACTGACATGACTTTCTTGCTGTTCGGGATCGTGTCTGTGGTTGGTTTCTTTTTCGTCATAGTCTTTGTGCCCGAAACTAAAGGACTGCCCATTGAAGAAGTCGAGAAGATGCTCGAGTTGAGACCCCTGCAGTACAAGTTCTGGGAGAAGAAGAAGAGACCCGAAGGAACGATGGAGGAGGAGGAGAAGTTGGACAAGAAGAATCAAGGTGTCTGAAACAGATTTGAAGCGAAGTTTGCATATGAACTGTAATGCGGAGGAGGGGAATTGGGTTTTGTCTATATACTATATAGTGCAGAAGTGTGAGCTAGTAGGGGAGTTTCTCTCAGAGAGGGAAAGGTTTAGTTTGGGTTACTATTACAGAAACTGGCACCTTCAATTCAGCTGTGGACAACTCCTCAATATTCATACTGAGAAAAATTGTTGGTATAATAAACTGCTTCTGTATTGCTTTATTAATGGTTCTGTCGCCTGCACTGTTAGAACTGTAAGTTGGCACTTGGCAATGATCGAGGCATCAAACCCACCCCAGTTTGCTCCATAACACAAATCCTCTTTTCTTAGTGCTGAGCTTCAAGATCAGTAATGATTTTTTATGCACTCGAATTCCCCACATAGCTAATCCGGCACTTGAGCGTAGATGTTTGGTTAATGGGCAGGAAATCCAGGGTTTAGATGACTGATGCATTTGTTAAACATGGATATGGTTTACTTACAATATCGAGAGGATAGGATTCAATAGTCGGAGAACTTGGAAGCGAAACTTACCGGCGGCGACCATCTTGTGTGTACGGTGGAGCCACACTTAGGGGTGGAAATCGGTACGGTATTGGTATCCCAATACCAAATACCGAAATCCCGAATACCGAATTACATCCTAAAGTCAATCCCAATCCCAATCCCTAAATAATTTCGGTATCCCAATCCCAATCCCTAAATATTTCGGTATCCCAATCGGTACCTCGGTATCCCAATCGGTATTATCAAATACGAAATTAATTACCTTTGCAATTAATAATTAAATATATAAATTAGATTTTATTGTTTAATTTACGGGAAAAAGACTAAGCAAAGAGTTTTGAATTAGGATATTATTATGGAGAATGGAGGAGAGGAGACATCTCAAGTTCTTGTTATTGATAATCTTTAATTTGACGAATTAGATGTTGAGAGACGACTATTAATAATGATGGAATGATCTGTGAATAATTAAATGGCACTTTTGGTGGTTGAGGGTCATTTAGTAGTAAATGAGAGAGTCTAGTTGAGAGGATAAAATACAAACTAGCTTATATTTCGGTATTGATCGGTATTTCGGTATATCCCGATCCCAATCCCGTAATCCCTAATACCGAATAACAATTGAAATTCAATCCCAATCCCAAAAAATAATACGTGTATTCGGTAATACCAAATATAGACAAATTCGGTACGGTATTCGGTAGGGCTGGGCATGCGGGCGGATCATCCGCGGGTTTGGGCCGACCCACCCGCATTTGACCCGAATTTCGTTAAGTGGGTGGGTCTGTGGGTGGGTGACGGGTTGCGCTGGGAGCCATCCGCCGGGTGGTGGGTGGGTTGTGGGTGAGTGTGCGGGTGACCCGCTCAACCCAACAGCAAAAAAATCAAAGTCGTTGGCACTAGAGAGAGGAGAGTGGAGACGTTAGATATAAACTCGGACTGCTCCTGGAGTTTGAACCTCAAAGCCAACCTTCCAAAAAGAGATCCCCTCTTCTTCCCTTTACTTTTTCCTCTAATTCTTGTGCCTAGATCACCGCTCTTTCCTTTGTGGAATTATTTTCCTTAGTTCATTGCACCTAATAATCGTCTCAATATGTAGAAAACTCTTTCATAATAAAATTTTTGTCCAATTTAATAACTAATTCAACATTTTTCGCCTTATTTCAACTTCTGGTTTCCCTTGATGATTCTCTTCGCCTATTATCATGTCAAATTGACTCCTTTATATTATATGCATTGTGATGTGGGTGAACCTACAAACCCACCCACATCATCCACCATCCGCCCGACCCAACCCGAGACTAAATGTGGGTGGGTGGTGGGTTAAAAATTATCAATCCGTTTAAGCGCGGGTGGGTGCATTTTATGGTCAAAATCCACCCGACCCACCCAATGCCCACCCCTAGTATTCGGTATATCCCAAATACCGGTATCAAACTTCCAGCCCTAGCCACACTGGTGGAACAGGAAGGAGCTGAAGTAGCCATTCGGCGACAGGGAAGCTAAAATCCTCATATTGCCATTTGGGCTTCTGTCCACCCATGATCCATTTCGAACGGGTCCAAACAAGCCAGGATTTTTTAATAGCATGGACCTGGCCCTATGGGACAAGTAACGGAGCGCAAGATGGACCTGGGTGGATTGGGCTGTTTAAGCGAAAGCCCACTGTACAAACCATAAACAATTTTTCAGTTAGAACTTGGTTAATACCTTAGTTCGCCCGAATTATAGACAAACTTTCTATTTTGGCCCGTAGTATCGAAAATTGCTATTCTGGCCTAAACTATGTAGCATACTTTCTTATTTGGCCCGGAGGCGGGTTTGACCGTCAAATTAGACGGTCAACCGAGTTGACCGTTACTCAAGGTCCACCTCACTTGCCACATCGGCTATTAGGGAATAAAAAATTAATTTTGTATTTTGAATTTTTTTTTACTTTCCAATAATAAAAATAATAAACGAAAAAAAATTAATTAAAAAAGCTCCCCAAATTATTTTTATTTAATTATAGAAAGTAAACAAAACTCAAAAATTCAAAAAATAATAATTTTTTATTCCTTGATAGCTGACGTGGACTTTGACTAACGGTCAACCGAGTTGACCGTCTAATTTGACTGTCAAACCCGCCTCCGGGCCAAATAAGAAAGTATGCTACATAGTTTAGGCTAGAATAACAATTTCCGATACCACGGGTCAAAATAGAAAGTTTATCTATAGTTCGGGCCAAACTAATGTATTAACTATTAACCCTTAGAACTTCGACGAAAAGCCAAACGAATCCATCATAATTAAATTTCTAACATTGAATGAATGCGGTGGATAAAGGAATTTTTCCTCTCTCTCTCAAATTCAAAACGCTCTCTCCTCTCTCTAAAAGTTCCTTTTCAGCTGCTCCTTGAGGGCTGCTGCCGGCAGCGTCCGGTGGCGGCCCTCCCTTCGTCCTTCCTTTGGTTGCACTCTTTCCATTTTATGCGTTCTCCTTTTTCTGTTTCCAGTCCCCTTTGTGGGTTTTCGCTGTCCCCTTGTGGGTCTTTTCCTTGTTCTGTCTCTTGGGATGGATCTTTCCTTGTTCAAGTTCTGTTCTGAGTTTCAGATCTTGGAAGCTTGGAGCTTTTGGTCCAGTTGCAGAGGGGGTTGTTGATTTTTCTCCAACTCATCTTTCTTTCCTTGAATCTTTCATCTACCTCCTTGTTTCATCCAACAGATCGCGATGATCCGGAGATGCAGTAGTCTTCCTTTGTGAATCGGCTCGGATGCGGTTCTTGGAATCGAAGATGGGGACTCCTCACTCAGAGATCGTTGCATGCTTTGTTTCTGGGTTCTGCCAAGTCCTTCGGTGGTCATCTCCTTGTTGAGGGTGTTGCTTTGTCATCATCCACGGCTCGTCTCTGCTGGGTTTGCAGTTCCCCTGTTTTCCTGGTCGGCAGCTTCTTTTGGTCTTGGCAGTGTGTTCTTCTCGGCAGCGGCGGCGATCTCTTTGTGGGGTTACATTTCAGATAGGGTTAGGATTGGCTTTCCTCCATGTGGGCCTCCATTGTGAGCTTTCTTGTGTATTTTCTGGTTTGTGGTGGGCTTACATGTTTTGGGCCTCTCCTTTTGCCTTATTTGATTTGTTTGTCTTTCTTTGGACCTAGTCCAAAACCCTGTAATTGTTTCTCAGTTAATGAAACTGTTTGTCAAAAAAAAAAAAAAAATCCATCATAATTACTCGGTCAACTTACAACATCACTCTGCATTACTTTCTGGCTTTCCGCACATCTGACTTGCGGTACGTACGCTAGCTGCTTTTACCTGCTGGTAACTTTTTTTTTACCTGCTTATAATTTGAAAGATGTAATGAGGGTTGCATAATTTAAAGAAGCCGTTTGTACTTGCTTTTACCTGATGTAACTGTTCAGTTACCATAAGTAAAATAACGCCCAATTCTAACCAGATTAACTAGCTAGGACCACCGGCCTCCGTAAAATGATAGGAAACAAGAAGGTGTTAGTTAGCTAGCTAGATAGATATATAGTTAATCAATTAGAAGAAGATATTTGATGCAGAGGAGGACAGGAGTTTCCATGGAACAAAGATTGCAGTCCTTACTTATGGTCCCCTCCCTCTCTCGTTTGGATTGACTACTGGAAGGAAACCCCATGCCCTTGATTGATTGGCTGTCTACCTCTCCTCGTTATTACACTACACTGCTGTTAGCTTGCAAATCACAGAGATTCTCTCCCTAGCTAGCTGGTCCAATGTTTGATATTATAACAAATCAAAGGGGCCGGGGCTGTGATTTGTATGCTATCTGTCTTGCTAATTATTGGTGAGGCGATGGCTAAAAGGATATTAATACATCATGTGGGTTAATGACACAGAAAATACCATATCAGGATATACTGGTTGACTAGGTGTTTAGATTTACAGGTCAACAAAAGGAAGGTTGCACCCACAAATAGAATTGCGTGCCACATAAGATCTGCACATACCATTACCATTTACCAAGCCCTCTCTAGAGCTACTCGTCATCAACTTGGTCTGTTGACCGTAATGTACCGGTGGTCGGAGTGTAAGAATCGTCTTTAGTCGGTTGTGTAAGTCGTTGCTGAATATCGGTCGCGAATTCTAGTTCTCTCACTGGAATGGTGTGATCGTTTTTTTTTTCTTCTATTGGGGTAAGAGAGAAACCGATAATTAGACAAACCGTTTTACGAAACACGCATATACAGGGGGGATTCTGCATCGGGTGGTCTGACCAGTCAAAATTGGATTAAACCAGTTAAAACTGGGTGGTCTGACCAGTCAAAACAGGATTTGAAGATGAGGATTGATAATTTCGTAATATATAAATTTCTTTAGAACAAATAAGTTGGTAATATATTAATGTAGATTAGGGTTATTGTTCTAAATTATGTCAATATATGCCTAATCTATTTGGTATTAGACGTTTACTCACATATTGTGTTAAAATCCACTTGGACTAGCTGAACCCGATCCGACCATTAAATCTCAAATCACTTGTCAAACCGACTTGATGGCTTAATCCAATTTGACAACCTTATATGCTATCGATTAAACGAAACTCATATCACTTACTTATCCGATACGATACGAGCTCTGACATCATGCTTATCACATCCCACCTAACTTGTCAATTAGAAAAAAATGATACAAACTATAATAATTAGCAAGAGGGTGAATTAAATACATTAAGAACGAAAGCAACAGTTGCAAGTTGATGGCTTTGCTTAATTATTATTGGTGCCTAAACCCTAATCTTTTGGGGTCGCTATATATGATATCAATTAGGGTACGTCGACGGATTGAAATGGCAAATCCCACCGCCCAAACAATTTCAACCGCCATTCAACCTTATCGTAGCGCCGGGCAGACTTTTGTTTTGCGTGGCCAGTGGCCACCAATTTTGGTACTCCGCCAAGT